CGCGTGCGTTCTGCAGCAGTCACTTGGATAAGTCGTTGTTGCTTGTTGAACTTGTTGACTTTTGATGAGTTTGAGCACATGATGCGCACTGTGACAAAGTGTGTTGGAAACATAAATTGAGGACCAATCTGCACCTTCCCAAATGGCACCCTAAACCCTCTTCCTCTGAGTCCGCACTTTCGTGACGTAATGCCGCTTTTACTGTCGGGTAGGTATGGAAACATCTCAAGGGCGATTTTTTTTTTTGCGATACACAAACTTATGCGACAATTCGTTTTTTTAGGGATGACGTCATCACGCACACCATTTTATCAGTAAAAGGCTAGTTGGATGGAAACAGACTGGACACAGCAAATTTCGCAAAGTTTTTTTTTTACGCATATTCTCTGTCGATAACAAAACAGCTCAAAAACTGAATGGAAACTTGGCTACTGTATGCGCGTGCTTTCCTGCACGTAAGCTTGCGAGCACCCTTCTGAACACTAAAATGACAAATGGGACACCCTACGGTCTCGTGGACTTAATGGACACACGCACACGGCGGCCATTGTAAGTACATAAGACTGCAAGTGCACATGAAGTGTTCGATTTGGGACAGGGCCATTGATGACCCGTGGCGTTAATATAGGCTACTGCATCTGTGCCAGCGCGTGATGTAATAAAACGGCAGCTCATTAATAAACGTTTATTTTATTTTTTTATCCATTTTATACAATCCGCCTTCATTTAGCAAGTGCATTCGCGTGTAAACAATTTTCAAGTTCAACACTTTTTGTTCCATTCAGTTGTGGATGCTGCTGATTCACCGAGACTCAGCAAAGAGACATGCGTGTGTGTGTGTTTTCCTTTGAAAAAGTTTCCCCAGAAATACTTCGCTATTTAAAGGCACAATATGTAAGATTTTTTTATTCAAATATCCAAAAACCACTAGAACGGTGTTATATATTTTGCTGACTTGTGTACTTACATTATCCCAAATGTTTGGGGAGAAATGGGCTCTCATTTTAACCCATATCATGGTGTGTGATGCTGAACTATGAGTTTCTAATGGTGTTTGTATTTGCGCTGTTTTATCATTAATATTTTATGTGCAACAACAGCATATGCTGTCTCAGTGGCCTTACACATGATTTTAAATCTATTTTTTCAGACTTTATGATTTAAATGGGGATGATTGTACTGAGAATAACTTTAATCTTTTCTTCAACTGAATACTGTTTCCGTGCTGTTTTTATGTATTTTAAAGAGTTGGCAGTCAAAATTAATACTGCTGGATGATAGATATTCTTCATTCTTTATGACAAACAAGATAATGTGAATTACAGAATGTACAACGTTTTTCAAATGTATCAATTGCGGTGTACAGCGTTTATTATGAGGGTGAAGAATTCACAGCTCAGTACTCACTACTCAATACTCATGAGTACTTTTAAATAGGCTACTCTTTTACTCTTTTTTTTGGACAAGTACTTTTACTCTACTCAAACTACATTTTTTGGAAGGTAATGGTACTTTTACTTGAGTATATTTTTTCAGTACTTTTTCCACCACTGCCAAAAACACATTTCCTCAGCTTCCCAGACCACATAAATAAAGCACACAGATGAACGGAAATGAAGCACAGCCTATGATATAAGGAACAACCAACCCAATACTACCTGCAGAAGTTAAAACAGGAAGAAAAGGTCAAACCATAACTCACCTGGCATGCCTGTGAAGGCCAGCGCTGGGTTTGCAGCAGCTGCAGCAAGGGATTCCTGCTGACTCTGTTGGCTCTGGCCAGGGGTCAAAGGTCGCTGATTGGTCCCTGCACGAATCACCTGGATTAGGCGAGGGAAGAGTTACAATGCAACCTCTGCATTCCTCTAAGCTTTACATTCATATAAGATTTCATGCCTAAATGAACTAAAGGAGAAAACGCTCCAAGTTATGAAACAAATGCTCTAACCGAGCAAGGTGTGAAAATGGGGCTGAGCCAAAGATGACTTAAAGGGATAGTTCACCCAAAAATGAAATTTCTGTCATTAATTACTCATCCTCATGTTGTTCCAAACCCATAAGACCTTCATTCATATTCGGAACACAAATTAAGATATTTTTAATGGAATCCGAGAGATCTCTGACCCTCCATAGACAGCAAGGGTCCTACCACGATCAAGGCACAGAAATTTAGTAAGGACATCGGTATAGTCCATGTGACATCAGTGGTTCAAACGTAATTTTACAAAGCTATGAGAATATTTTTGTGCCCAAAGAAAATTCTTCTCCTCATCCCGTCTGCCGTGGCGTGCCGCTGGAAATGAAATGTCCCCAACTAAGCAAGCCAGAGTCGACAGCTGCAAGGAACCAAAACTCCATCGGTGACAGAATGGAGAAAAAACCTTGGGAGAAACCAGGCTCCATTGTGGAGAGTATCAATGCATGCATGTGCTTTACTCTACATGTAAACTACGCATGCACATGCTGTCCTCTGCTCGTAAACAAGGCACGTTCAACGTAAGGAGCAGCACCCACATGTGTTGTTTACATGCAGAGGAAAGCACGCACATGCGTCGTGATACTCTCCACAATGGCGGCACGCCACGGCAGACGGGATAAGGAGAATAATTGTTGAATTAAGTTATTTTTGTTTTCTTTGCGCACAAAATGTATTCTTGGAGCTTTGTGAAATTACGGTTGAACCACTCATGTCATATGGACTATTTTAATGATGTCCTTACTACATTTCTGTGCCTTAATTGTGGTACGACCCTTGCTGTCTATGGAGGGTCAGAGAGCTCTCGGATTTCATCAAAAATATCTTAATTTGTGTTCCAAAGATGAACGAAGCTCTTACGGGTTTGGAACGACGGGTTTGGGTGACTTCATTATAATTACCGTAGTTACTTTTTTAGTTTTCAGAAACTAGTAGTGCCCATAGATTAAATACGTTTTGAAAAACAAAACTAGGGCTGGGCGCCTTTGAACATTTTTGTAAATTATGAGAATGATCTACAAAGACTCTTGTCAAAAAGGTTGAGAACCACTGGTCTAAATCATCTAGGCCAGTGGTTCTCAACCCGCGGGCCGCATGCGGCCCGTCATGAATTCAAATGCGGCCCACCATCCTGAACACAATTTTAAAAATAACTTTCAGTTTTAAAATTCATTTTAGTTCTTACATTAATTTAAAAATGTACTAAACAAATATAAGCTATAATGTTTTAGTTATGTAAAATAATTTTGTTTTTATGTTTTTATGTAAAATAATTTTGTTTTTCATATATTATTTTCAGACATGAGCAGACCTGTAGGCTACTCACATAATTAACGTTTTGCATTTAACGAACACTTACAAGTGTGCACTTTGGCAGAATTAAATTCAAATAGTCATCAGCAGCCATTAATTCGGTAAAATTGAGCATCAGGATGGACAAATTTGTTAAGGGAGAAAAACGAAATGTGAAAAATGCCAGCAAAGGAACACATAAAAACAACAATAATCTATAAGCAGTGAAGGTAGGAGAGTTCTGGACTTTCGGTTTGCCCCGCCACTCACTTGAAGATGTTCGAAAGGAAACACCCATACTACGCAGCAATCATCCTTAATTGCAGAAATGTGGCAAAACATCTCTGGAGAGAACCTCAGATTATTAAATTCGAAAGTGTTTTCCATATGTGGATCAACATAGGTTACACTGGTGAACGCACATTTTCTGCAATGTTGCGCGTCAAGTCACGCTTCCGTGCGCGTCTTACAGACTGCAACTTCATTGTACTGTAACTCCTTTCGAGCGGAATTTCACAAAATTTGTCAGCTCCCGACAGCATCAGGTGTTTTATTAATGGTGAGTATAATTATTTATTTTAATGAATGTAATTGATTAGATAATATATTTAGGCTATATTATATAATATTATAATATATAATATAATATATATAATCTGGTTGGTTTGTATTGGTGACGTAATATGTAAATGATATGCGTGCTGCCCGTGAGACTTGCAGTTGGACCATAGTGCGGCCCAGTGGAAAAAAAGGTTGAGAACCACTGATCTAGGCAAATTAACTTCTGGTTATGTGTTACATATGCATTTAGGTGATGAAGACTGGATATAACAACAGTGTGCATTTTAATGTTTAAAAAAACCTTGTGTGATTCCACCAACATGTCTTACTATATCCATGAGTTTACAAAAAACAAGTGGAATTTATTTTCTGCGGTAATCGACATTATGCCACAATTGTTGTCGATAGCCTTGGTTCAGTACAAGTTAGCGCTATCTATTTATCTCTTTCAAATCCTCCTAAAAGTAATGTAACACAATGAACGAGGCTTAAGGGCCGGTCACACTACACTTTTCAATCCACTGACTTTCATTCTTTTGCATTCAAAGAAGTTTTTACACTGCTCTGCGTTCCAAAGTTCAAGTTTGGTAAACTCTGACCTACGAAATAGTATCACATGAAACCGTGAGACCAACAGAAGATTGATAAGTCACCACATGAATTTAAAGAACATACATTTAAAAACTGCAGCACTGCAGAAAAGGGGAGTACACTGCACTTTTTTACAGTTTGGAATTATTATTGTTTATTGTGTTGAATTTAGGTTTTAAAAAAAAACACTGCGGAGTGTGACGTCATATCACAACCATTGCAGTGTCCAAAGAAATTCTGTATGTTCAAAGTCTAGTGTGACCAAAGCTTTATATGTTGAGATAATGTCATCAACCTGTTGTCCTGGACCCTGACTGGACGCCTGCTGGTTGGCGGAATGACTGGCAGCAGCTGCAGCCGGTTGTTGGAAGAGGTTGGCTGGATACACACCCCACGGCACTCCATAGTACTGAGGAGGGACTACAGCTGGACCTATGGACAAACATGAGCTTTAGACTGAGGACTCCATATTTAAGATCCCAGGATTTTCTATAACATACTTGATATTTATAAAGTGTGTACATGTGTATACCTGCAAGTGTGGCAGCTGCTGCCAATCCTGCAGCGGTGTAAGGGTCTGCTCCAGGAGGGGCAGCATTGATGATGTAAGGATTTGGCACAAACGCAGGTGCAAGGCCTACCGGAACAACAGGCCATATTCATTTCAAAGCCTTCCTGCACAATGAAATTGAACCACTAAACACTCAATTATTGAACTTTTACTGTGTCTTCTTTTGCCCTCTTAAAACAAAACAAAACATTATGGTGGAAACAAGATATAGGAGACAGAGTGTCTCTGGATGAAAATACAAGTCTGAAAGTAATAATGTTACCAAGGTGTTGCTGTTGGGCTGCAGCAAGGGCGTACTGTTGCTGCTGTGCTGCGGTCAACTGCTGAACTGTAAGATGACTGGATCTCTGGAACAACTAAAAAAAAAAACAACAACACAAAAACACATGATACTACATCTTTTTACTAAAAAAAAAAAAAAAAGAGCCCGACCGATTTATTGCTTTGCCGATTTTATCGGCCGATATGAACCTGTCGCAGATATATCTGCATCGGCATATATGCCGCAGATATGCCACCGATATGAAATTTTTTTACAGAACATATGACGCAGATAAAATGCTTGCCAATGGTGTAATTACTTAGTTTGTCCAGCAGAGTGCACTCCATTGTTTGCTCCTGGCAACCCTAATTTTTTGAGATGCACCTGTATGCAGGTGCATCTCAATAAATTAGAATGTCGTGGAAAAGTTCATTTATTTCAGTAATTCAACTCAAATTGTGAAACTCGTGTATTAAATAAATTCAATGCACACAGACTGAAGTAGTTTAAGTCTTTGGTTCTTTTAATTGTGATGATTTTGGCTCACATTTAACAAAAACCCACCAATTCACTATCTCAACAAATTAGAATATGGTGACATGCCAATCAGCTAATCAACTCAAAACACCTGCAAAGGTTTCCTGAGCCTTCAAAATGGTCTCTCAGTTTGGTTCACTAGGCTACACAATCATGAGGAAGACTGCTGATCTGACAGTTGTCCAGAAGACAATTCATTGCTATTTATTACACGAGTTTCACAATTTGAGTTGAATTACTGAAAATAAATGAACTTTTCCACGACATTCTAATTTATTGAGATGCACCTGTATACATACAGGTGCATCTAAAAAAATTGTTATATCTTGAAAAAGTTCATTTTTTGTTACTTATTTCAAAAAGTGAAACTTTCATATATTCTAGATTCATTACGTGTAAAGTAAAACATTTCAAAAGTTTTTTTGTTTTCATTTTGTATTTTGTATATATATGTGTATGTATGTATGTGTGTGTGTGCGTGCGTGCGTGTGTGAGAGAGTGTGTGTGTGTGTGAGAGAGAGTAGAACAACTGTTTCCAACACTGATAAGAAGAAATGTTTCTTGAGCATCAATAATCCAATTTCTGATGGATTGTGGGGCACTGAAGACTGGAGGAAAAGATGCTGAAAATTCATCTATGCCATCACAGGAATTAATTACATTTTAAACTAGATGAGTAAAGTTTGATGTCAAACTTTAAAGTTGGCTTGAAAAAGCCAGGCCAGAAAGGTTGAAAACATTGTAATAGCTTTAAGTAGTTCTACAGTTTAAAGTTTTAATGTTTTGAAGGCAATATAAGATAGATAGATTAAAATGAACTTACATTACAAGCATGGTTAAAATGTTGCTAGCATGATTAGCGTGTTATTAGCATGTTGTTAGCATGATTAACAAATTACTATCATATTACTAGCATGGTTAGCAAGTTACTAGCATGTTGTTAACATGTTGTTAGCATGATTAGCCAGTTACTAGCATGATTAGCATGATTAACATGTTACTAGCATGTTTAACAAGTTGCTATCATGATTAGCATGTTACTAGCATGATGCTAGCATGTTTCTAGCATGTTTCTCAAGTTGCTAGCATTTTCCTAACATGATTAGCACGTTACTAGCATGTTTTTAGCATAATTAACAAGTTACTAGCATTTTACTAGCATGATTAACAAGTTACTAGCACGTTTCTAACACGATTAGCATGTTACTAGCTTGTTGTTATCATAATTAGCAAGTTACTAGCATTTTGCTAGCATGTTTCTAGCATGATTAACATTTTACCAGCATGTAGTTAGCATGATTAGCATGTTGCTAGCATGTTTCTAGCATGATTAGCATGTTGCTAGCATGTTGTTAACATTATTAGCATGTTGATAGCACATTTCTAGCATGATTAGCATGTTACTAGCATGTTGTTAGCATGATTAACAAGTTACTAGCATTTTGTTAACATGTTTTCTATGCTAATCCAGCTAAAACCAGTTGATTTAGTAAAAAAAAAAAAAACAGCTAAAAAACAGCTAAGACCAGCCTGACCTGCTAAAAAAGTGGCCAAAACCACTTTGAAACCAGCTTGGGAAACCAGCCAAAGCAGCCAATCAGCTTAGGCTGGTTTTAGCTGTTTTTTCAGTAGAGAGTTGTTAAGCTTTGCTATACCAACAGACAGCTTAAATACACCATAAGTTTAATTGTATAAAAGTTTTCACCCCCTCAAAGCAAGTCTATGGGCCATGATTTTAGGTGGTTTTGATAGTCTGGTTTACGAAAACCGTAAGCCGGATCAGTTAGAAAAGATATAGCACACCGAGTCAGACCAGTCTGAAGGTCTGGGTCGAGTTTGGTGGTTCTAGCTTAAAAGCTCTAGGAGGAGATAGGTGTCGAAATTTGGCTCAGAAGAATAATAATAATACGTTTAAATAGTAGATCAGTAAATTGGCTTTCTCAAGCCAACTTAAATATATTTCAATAGAAAACAGAGTCTATCTTACATTGACAAAACTTAAATTGTGATAATATTTCACAATATTACTATTAGAGCTAAGGAATATAATCATTTTACAATGCATTGCTGCATAAAAACAAAAGAACCATCTTTTTTTCTATTTGTTTGAAGAATTAGATGACTACAAATTGGATTCTCCATATTTTTTTCTTATAGTCGGTTATGTCTTACATGAACAAACAGTTGGGGCAAAATCTTATGTGTAACATTAAATTAATGCATTTGTCTTAATATAATACACCTGCTGCTGTTTGTCATTTATGTTAATCAAACAACAAAAGTGGGAATCATTTACTACCCTTGACTGAATAAGTTTTGCAACTTTAATAATACATTTATTTGTAATTAATACACTAAAGACTATGCAGTGATTTTTTTTTACATTTGATTATTCAATTCCTGTATTATTTCTTACTTGAATGCTTCTGTTAAGCTGCAGTCCGTAAATTGTTTCGGTTAAAAATTATCCGAAATCAATTTTTGAGTGCATAATCAGCCAGTTTTCAAAACTATCCCCTTACTTTAGCCCGATTCACAACGGTTAGCTTATAATAATGTTTTCTAATTTGAGTGGTACTGGTAAAAATTCGCAGGAAATTCCAGCATGCCGCCAAGTCATTACGTCAAAAGATTATGCGTTTATGAAACGCATGTGACAGAAATTAAATTATATTCCAGTTTTAAATGTGCATCTGATTACAGATAGCCTGGGATTACACATAATTTGTATTTTAAAGAGAACCAGTTCGAAGGAAGAATAATTAGCTTTTTGGGTTAAACATTTCTTAAAGGGGTCATATGATGTTGGTAAAAAGAACATTATTTTGTGTATTTGGTGTAATGAAATGTGTTTATGTCGTTTAAGGTTAAAAAAACACATTATTTTCCACATACTGTCCATTATTGTTTCTCCTCTGTCCCGCCTTTCTGAAACGTGTCGATTTTTACAAAGCTCATCGGTCTGAAAAGCGAGGTGTGCTGTGATTGGCCAGCTATACAATGCATTGTGATTGGCTGAATACCTCAAGCATGTGACAGAAATGTTACGCCCCTTACCATACTGTGATGCCGTGTCCGGCCGGGGCGACGAGACAAAACCAATAAAACCCATTATAAACGAGGCATTTGTTGCATCCAGTGGGGACATAATTACGGATTATAATGACTTATACTGTCTTTTTATGAGTTGCCTCGCGCCGCATAAACATAAAACCGTGTCTGCATTTGTGATGACAAACAACAAGCGCTACTCTACACTGCTCAAAACTGCGTTTGAATCGTCAGTGGCATATTCGTAATACACAAAAAACGTACTTACAGTCTGAGAGTCAGAACAGCCGGCATTGTAGTCTACTCTACCAGGATCAGGAAACAGTCCTCCATAAATTGTGCTGCACACATCTGAATATTTGGGTTGAACTGATACATATATAAATACAAATACAACTTAACCACTGATTTCTAGTCCTGTCCTTTTTTGGAAGGCCAAACAAAGTAGTTTCGCTTTCGCAACGAAACACAGCGTCACACACAGCGGCCTTGAGTGAGCGGAGGCCGGCGGCTAGAGTGAGTGGAGGCCGGAGGGCTAGAGTGAGTGGAGGTCGGAGGGCTAGAGTGAGCGGAGGCCAGCGGCTAGAGTGAGCGGAGGCCGGGCGGCTAGAGTGAGTGGAGATTGGCGAATTCGACAAAGGAGGGGCTGGCGGGCTTGCGGCAACCACATGTGATGACTCCACTTCGTCCACGGTGAAAGCCGATCCGGCGATCCACAGCACGAAGTTGATGTATTTCCTCAGCGACCAGCACGGATCAGCTTTAGGCATGACAAAGCGGATATCGTTCTCTTTTGGAAGGCCAAACAAAGTAGTTTCGCTTTCAGAGCAAAACACACAGCGTCTTCACGACATGGCAGCAGCAACAGTACTACAGCAAGAATAAAAGTTACGCCTTCTTTCTTTGCGTGAACATTTGGGTGGCGTTATGCAAATATTCCCACATCGTGATGTAGACATGTGGGGGCATGTTAGAATGAGCCGTTTTAGGTAGGCGTGGTTGACTCTTGACTTTTATAAAGAATATCTTTTTGGATATGAGACTTTAGTCTTTGCAACTCGAATGGTATGACAATTAGAGATTAGACTGTACAGAAATTGAAATTTACACGCTAATACACACTTTATACACAGTCACGCAATGCTGATGTTGTTAACAAAGTATAACAGTAATAATAATTTGCACGGTTTGATGTAGGGCTGTCAAAATGGCTGAAAAACTAAATTCGAATTTTGTACTTAAATATCAAAATTCTAATTATATTCGAATTTAAAATGCATAATTTCAGTTAGGGTGAAGAAAAGCTTTTGGCTTCTCTCCTGAGGCCACAAGAGGCCGCATCGATCAAAATATTACTAATGCACGTTTATTCAAAGCATAATGACTATCTGTGGGAAAAAAGTGCATAATGTTTAAAATAATGTTTAATGATGGGAGTGCAATGGTGATAGATGTCCCTCTAGAAAATGTGCGAAATGTGTTCAGTGTGAACGGCTTGGTTTCAGT